AACTCTCTTTGGAGAGGCGGACAGAATTCCACCTCACTGAAACGCAGCCCGGAAGTCCGTTGTCACTCAGCAAGAAGCATGGGGATGGGGCCCTGGGGCTCTGGCTGAGTGTTCCTTCCACCCACCAATCGCTGTAGCGCCATATGGATGGACACACAGGCAGGCAGGCAGGCAGACAGGCAGCACCCTGGCCGCCATCAGCTCTCCAGCTCCGGTGTGAGCCAGCGTTCGAGTGAGTGGCTCCCTCCCCTGGTCCGGCCCCCACCCTCCCTGCTGCAGCCTCTGTCCAGCTCTCGGAGAAGGTGACAGAACACAGGTTTACCCCCATCCTGTGTAAATCACAGACATGCAGGCACCCGGACACATGCGTGCTCTTCTGCTCTGCTTTCACTCAGTCTTTCCTCGCATTCAGCTCTGCCCTTCCCCTTCCTTCACACCCCTTCCTGTCAGCTTCTCTGGCCCCGGCTCAGACTCTTCCTGACCAGGGTGTGGCACCTCCCTGCCTGGCACCCTGGCCGGATGGGGTCTGGGCTGCTCAGGCCCCCCAGGAGCCCTGCTCTGACTCGGTAACCCCTTCCCCACCCAGCAGTTCAAATCAGGGCTTGACAGGCTTTAAGGAGAAATGGGACAGGGCAGTAATGAAGGACGTGGGCTCCGGAGTCAGACAAGTGTAGGTGCAGGTCCGGCCATGAGACCTCTCAGAGCCTGTTCACTAATCTACGGTATGGGGTAATAGGTTAATAATAGTGCCCACCTCATGGGGTTGTTGTGAAGTTTAAGAGAGATCCTATGTGTAAAGCACCTGGCACACAGGGAGCTCTCAGTAAAGTGGTTGCTGTTCTAAGGAAGATGTGGCCCAGCAGCCAGTTGGTAGAGAGGGAGGCAGGGAAGTTTCTAGAAGGAGTTCTTGCATTGTCCGTCCAAGTGCTTGGAAGAAAGTCCACTCTCCGGCTCGAGGACTCAGTTTCCTCTTCTGTTGAAGAGAGCATGTGGACCAGGTCCGGCCCAAGCGTAGGTCTGGCCGGGATGAATCATGCTGGCTCCAAACAGGGGCCAGCGCAGGGAGCGCTCAGATAGATGATTGGGTGCCCTAATAATTGCCCACCCCTCCAAATCTGGGTGGGAGCCCTAGCTGAGCTGGAGCGGTGTAACTGCTGAGGGGACAGCTGGGAAGGCTGGGTCAGGCAGGGCAGGCGGCGGCAGGCCCAGCAGCCTGGCTGTGGGGGACACAGTTATCCCTGGAATCCAAGAGGGCCCTGTGAGCCCAGAGGCTATATATCATGGAGGTTTAATCGGCCCCCTGGCACATAGTTGTCTGCTCTCCTGGGCCGTGTCCTCGGCCTGCCTGTCATAAATTGCACCGATATTTCGAACCCCACCCCCCAGCCCTCTTTCTGGAGGAGGCAGGCGGCTCCCTTGGCATGGCCAGGAGCACCTCATTCCCCTGACACCTCTCACCCCTGGCCAGTTGGACGCCCCTCCAACACTTGCACCCGGTACTTTCTTCCTGCTGGGAGAATGGGAGGAGACTTGTAAAGGCAGGAGAATAGCGATGATGACGTCTGTCTAGAGGTGCGAGGGTGCAGAACGTTGGTGGAAACTTGGTGCCACCTTGGAGGAGGTGGTTCTCACAAAGCGATGGGAGTAACTTTCCAGTGTGACAGAGCTGTGCCCTAGACTCCAGACATGTTTCCCAGGAGCTTGGCCTGGCTCGGAGGGGCAGCCTAATTGTCCCAGGAGTCTGGAGGAGTGGGCGTCCTCCCTTGCCTGGAGCGGTACAGTGAGTTCAACCTCTTCTATTCCCGTCGGGTGCTCGCTGCGCCACCTGGAGGCTCTCTCTAGTACTGCATCCCAGCCACACCACTCTGCAGAGTGAAGGGGGGTCCTCAAATCACCTATGACTACCACACAAGAGTGAGACTCTTGGTGGATTAGTTATCTAGGGCTGCTGTAACAATGTACTACAAGCCAGGTGATCTAAACAACAGTCGTTTGTTGTCTCATAGTTCTGGAGGCTAGAAGTCCAAGATCAAGATGTCCTCTGGGTTAGTTTCTTCTGAGGGCAGTGAGGAAGGAGGTCTATCCCATGCTTCTCCCCTAGTTTCTGGTGGTTTGCGGGCAACCCTTGGCGTTTCTTGGCCTGTAGAGGCATCACTCCAATCTCTGCTTTCACTTGCACATGGCACCCTCCCTATGGGAATGACTGTGTCCAAATTCCCCCTTTAGAAGAACACTGGTCACGTCATATTGGATTAGGGGGCCATCCTGCTCCACTACGGCCTCCTCCTAACCTAATGCAATGGCCTAGTATCTGCAATGGCCCTATTTTGAAACGAGGTTGTATTTCATATTCTTAAGTGTTAGGGTTTGGGATTTCAACATAAAAATTTGGGAGGGCACATGGCAAGTCTTAGATGTTCAGCGACAGTCTCATTCCATGGTCTGGGCACAGTGATACTCACACTGTGACGCAGCTACACTGTGACACACACACACAGATTGAACAACACAGATTCACCTCCACAAACGATGGGGTAACAGAGACATTCACAGCGAAAGACACACAAGGTGACAGATTGGGTGACTCCTCTGACAAGCTACAAAACAGAGCCACACTGTGGATTAGTAATAGCTGACTTTTATAGGACACTGAGAAGTGTTTTATATAGATCAGCTCATCTAATCCTCACACGGTACTTGTGACCTAGGAACTGTTAGTCATCACCCCCATTTTATAGATATGCAGATGAGGGGACTGAGGCTCAGGTCACACAGCCAGTAAGTGGCCGACCTGGAATCTGAACCCAGGTTGGGGTCAATGTAGAGCTCATACTCTTTATTTTTTTTAAAGATTTTATTTATTTATCTTACAGGGGGGAAGGGAGGGAGGAAGAGAGGGAGAGAAACATCAATGTGTGGTTGCATCTTACACACCCCTTACCAGGGACCTGGCCTGCAACCCCGGCATGTGCCCTGTGCTGGGAATTGAACCAGCGACCCTTTGGTTCGCAGGCCGGCGCTCAATCCACTGAGCCACACCAGAGCTCATACTCTTAATTGCTGTGCCTCCCTCTTCCATTCACATGCAGTCCCCACACATGAAATGGAAGATCTGTTATGTGGGAGCACTGCCCACAAAAATGATAAGCAGCTTTCTGGGAGCAGGGGGCGGGTCCAGGGACTCCTGGCTCCTGGCTGTGGACTTGAGAAATTTTCATTGTTCAGATGTGGGTTCCACCATTGGGTGTGTGGCCTTATGGGAATATTAGGGACTCATGTGACTTGACCGGGTCTAATGTGTAAAATGAACATGAGCTTAAGGAAAAGGGAATGCTCTTTAGGGGGACATATTACTTTGCTTAGGCTGCTGTAATGAAGCACCACAGACTGGGAGACTTCAAAACAGAAATTTATTTTGTCACGATTCTGGAGGCTGGAAGTCTGAGATCCAGGTGTCAGCAGGGTTGGCTTCCTCTGAGGCCTCTCTCTTTGGCGTATAGATGGCCACCTTGTCCCTGTGTCTTCGTATGGTCTGCCCTCTGTAACTGTCTGTGTCTAAATTTCCTCCTCTTATAAAGACACCAGTCATATTTGCATTAGGGCCTATCCTAAGGGCCTCATCTTTACCTAATTTTTTCTTTAAAGGCCCCCTCTCTCAACACAATCACATTTTGAGGTACTGAGAGTTAGGAGTCCAACATAGGAATTTTTGGTGGATGCAGTTGAGCCCATAAGAGAGAAACGCTCACCCTGGCTGGTGTGGCTCAGTGGATTGAATGCCAGCCTGTGAACCAAAGGGTCGCCAGTTCGATTCCCAGTCAGGGCACATGCCTGGGTTGCAGGCCAGGTCCCCAGGAGGGAGTGTGTGAGAGGCAACCACACATTAATGTTTCTCATCCTCTCTTTCTCTGTCCCTTCCCCCTTGCTCTATAAATAAATAAATAAATAAAATCTTTAAAAAACGAGAGAGAGATAGTCTCAGTCATACCTCACTGAGGCCCTGGCCTTGGGGAATCCCCCAACCTGGGAAAGAGGCACAGTCCCTGACCTCAGGAATTCCGGCCAGGTGAGGAGGATACAGGCCCTGCCCTCAGGAAGTCCCCAATCTAAAGAGGCAGAAAGTGTGCGCACATGCACACGCACACAGAGATTCAGAAAGGAAGTGAAATTTGACAACGTTCTGTCTGAGAAAGGTCACTGAGCAGCCCCAGAATAAAGCCCATCAGAGGCAGGGGAGTCAGGAGGGAACGTTTCCGAGGAGTGAGTTGGACAGGAAAGACTGTCTGTGAAAGACGAGGGGCCTGGAGGGACCCAGGGTGTGTGCGTGTCTGTCTGTCTGTGTGTCTGTGTTCAGCAGACCGAGGCTGTAGGGCCCAGATCTCTACTAAAAACACCAACTGTTGCCACGGGCTGAGTGGCCAAGACAGCAGGGAGCATCTGGAGCCACATGCAGCAGGGGTGGGGATGGCTTCACACACTGCCACCATTTGTGAATGTCAGCTGGCCGGGCCCTGGACACAGGGAGGTTGGGTTTCTGCAATCACCACCCTGGCCAGTGGCTGCTGTGTCTCCAGCAAGCGCCACATGCCTGCCTGTCACAGGATTGTCAGCGCCTGCCATGGTGCTGAGAACAGGGCTCTGGCTTCCCAAAGCATGACTCCACCAACCTCGCTGCTGCCTGTCCCTCAATGCCCACTGCTCTCCGAGACCCAAGCCACCCTCTCTGGGCTGTGCTCTGCGGCCATGTCCCCAGGCACAGGCCGCCCTGTGTGTAGACATTTCTGATGCTCTTCCAGATGCCTTTTCATGAAAGCTGCCTTGTTTGAAATAGACCCCATGATGCTCCCTTTGCCATCCTTAGGTCGGGGCTATCTGAAAGCTGGGGACCCTCAGCTGGGATAAAAGGCCCAGGCATCTCTGGATCTTGAACCCGTCTTGCTCCTTCTATGTATTCACACCCCTCAGCCTTTGTTTATTTGTCTCCCTCTCTATCTGCTCAGGTATGAAGCGGCCGCTAAGCCCATCGCTTCCTGCTGAGAAGGAGCCCCTGCTGTCTGGAGCTGCTGAGCGTCCCCCGCAGCCCTCAGAACCACCTAAGCCCAAGCGCGAGAGAAAACGGCCATCGTACACTCTGTGCGACGTCTGCAACATCCAGCTGAACTCCGCAGCCCAGGCCCAGGTGCACTGTGAGGGGCGGGCCCACCAGAGGCGGCTGCGGCAGCTCAGCCTGGGAAAGTCGCCCACAGGGCCAGGTCAGTGCGGAGGGTCACCGTGCCCACAAGTCTGGCTCTGGGCCCCCCAGAGAGGCTCTGGGTCTGTGGCTTCTCTCTGTGGGGTCTGTGAGTCTGGATTGCCCCCAATGAGTTTTAGAGTCTGAAGTCTTCCAGATGCTGGTAGGTTTTGTTTGGCATCTGGTCCACCTTCTTGGGGAGTTCTCGGGATCTGAGGGTCTTCAGGTCTGAGGCCACCTCTTGAGGTCTTTCTGGGTCTGGGGGCTATCCCTGTGGAGTCTCAAGGGATCAGGACCCCAGTCTGGAGCCCCCTGGCAGGGGTGGTCTTTCGGACAAAGGCCTCACCTGCAGGGTCAGCAGGGTGCATGACATTGCAGCCGAGGGATGGACTAGGGGAACCCCTCTTCCTTTGGCCACTGTGCTCCTGGCCAGGATTTCTGCTTCTCCCTGGCTGGGGTGACTTTGCCGAGGTTTGGCTGCAAGCAGCAAGGGGCAGCTGGCTGCAAGGTAGAATTCTGGGGGAAATGGGTGAATGCATTCGTGAGGGTGATTCCAGCTGACAAGCACGAAGAGGCCATGGGGAAAATAAGAAGAGGCAGGCTGCCGGCTGGCAGGGGAAGCAAGTTCAGAACCAGACCCAGTGCAGGGGAGGCGGGATGGGCCGGAACTTCTGCCTGGCTCTCCGAGGCAGCTGCTAAAAACCTACCTTGCAGCCCAGGTTGGTAGTTTTGCCAGAGGGTTACACTCTGAGCTCTGAACAGGGCTGCCTGTTCTTTTGGTGAATATTTGGGCACCCCCTGTGCTCTCTGTACCAACTGCCTGGGGCCTAGAGACAAATAAGTTCCCGTCTCCCTCCTCAAATCCGCCCCCCAGGCCAAGACTGAATCTGTCTTTTGGGCTGAGACAGACACGAAAAGAGCAGATTAGTGTGGTGGGTGCTTCATGGGACATGTCCCCAGGGATACAAAGGAGAGAGGCCAGTTATACTCAAGGGCAACAGGAAAGACCCCTAAGGAACTGGGGTGTGCGGAGTTGAGCTTTAGAACAGGGGGAAGGGAGGAAGGGACACTATAGGCAGAGATCATTGCATAAGTAAAGCAGGGGACACTCTGATGGCTGGTACCAGCCCCTCTGCCTGAGCACTTAGGGACACCAAGGGTGTGAGTCTAAGAGTGTATCTGATTATATGGATGTTTCTGGAGCATGTGTGTAAGTTCAAAAGACCCTCATTAATCCCTCAAATGCTAACAGACAACCCTCTATGTCCAACTACTGTATGGAGGACTCGTACTTTTCCCCCAGCTTCACTGAGATATTATTGACACATAATATATGTAAGTTTAAGGTATACAATGTGATGATTAGATACACATATATATTATGAAATAATCACCATAACAGGTTAGTTAACACTCCCATCTCCTCAGATAATTACAAGTTTGTACACGTGTGGTGATAACAATGAAGATCTACTCTCTTAGTGACTTTGAATTATCTAATGCAGTATTGTTAATATCATATGGGGCATTAAATCACAGGCCTTCTTTATCTTATACCTGGCAGCTTCTACCCTCTGACCAATACCTCCCCATGTCCCCAACTCCCCAGCCCCTAGCAACCACCTTTGTACTCTACTTCTATGCGTTCAGCTTTTTCAGATTCCGCATATAAGTGAGACCATACAGTATTTGTCTGGGAATCCATATTTTTAAAAGGCAGCATACCAACCGGTTAGGGAAGCGCTATCTAAACAATCACACACGCAGAGGAGTTTGTCCAAGATAACAACAGGCTTCCTGGGAGGTCATAGCGGGGCTTTGGGAAGTCAGAGGAGGGAGCGGTGAATCGGCTGGCGTCAAGGAAAGCTGCAGAGGAGTGACACACTGAGGTGGACCTTGGAGACCGAAAAGGAAGCCCAGGCAGGGAGACGGCTAGGGGACAGCTAGAGCAAAGGCCCTGGGGCCCGAGGCCCTTGGCCTTTCAGGAGCGGTAGGCGGTGCTGGCACATGGCGGGAGGGGAAGAGGGGCTGCCTGGGACGGCCTCCCAGGCCTGCTGGCGTTGGGCCTTTGCCCCGCAGGTGGTGGGTGTCACTGCAGGGTTTCGAGCAGGCGTGATTCGTGTTTTTAGAGGTCTCTGGCAAGGGGGAAGGGTAAGACTTGGGGGTACATAAAGAAAAAGGGGTTGGGATGGAGGAAACAGCTTTTGGGGCCTTTTCTGTAGCAGAACCATTAGGACTTGGTGACCGATGGGATGTGGGAGGTGCCAAAGGGGACTCCAGCTTAGGCGATGTTGTGATGGATCGTCCGTTATCAGACGGGGGCGCCCCAGGAGGGAAGCAGGTCTGGAGGGCAGTGCTGGATGGGGACGGCCAGTCCTGTGGCTCAAGAACTCTGTCCTGCCCCTGCTCCCGTCGAACATGGCCTCTTCAGGCCCTGCTTCTGGGCAGTGGTCCGTATGCTGCAAGCCCTCCCTTTCCCTTCCCCTTCCCCACCCCCCATGCCAGTGTGGGGTCAGCAGGTGGGGCGTGATGAGGAAAGGCCGCAGCGCCAGATGCCCGTGGCCAGAGGCAGGCTGCCCAGAGGGAGGCAGACCCCCTTCGCCTGGCTTCCCTCTTCTCGCGGTCCATGTCCCCCCGAGTCCTAGGCAGGTGTGGGGGTGCCAGGAGACATGATGCCCGGTCCCCTTCTCCGGGTTGTTACATGGGACCTGGGAAGTCACTGTCCCCCCAGCCATCGCCGAGCCCTGCAGCCCCGCGGTCCTGTGCGGGCCCTGAGTGCGTGGGGCCCGCATTCTGCCCTGAGCAGTGCCCGTGCCGGCCCTCGGGGCCCTCACAATCTGGAGGGGAAGTCACCAAGGGCCCGGACATCACCTCCGCAGGCTAAGAGGGAGTGAGCGGCACTGTGGGAGCATGGGGGTGTGACGGCTGTGCACAGGGCGGGGGTGAAGGGTCCTCAGATTTCTGGGAACCCTGGGATGCTGGGGCGCCAGCGGGGAAAAGCTGCTCTCCAGCGGCCTGGTTACCCCTGAGCCTACTCCAGGCCATGACCCCCCAGCATCCACTCCCCTCTCATGGATTTCTCCTGTCTCTTCAACTCTCTGAGAGCTGGGGGTGGGAGAGGGAGCCCTCAGCGAGCAAGCAAGCTGTGCTAGCAACTGCCCCTGAGGCCGTGGGTGAGGGGACGTGCCTGGGGACCTCTGGAAAGGGTCAGAGCTGAGAGCCCAGAGGGTGTGGCGGGGGGGGGGGGGCGACAGGGAGAGAGCCACACCTGCTTTCAGGGAGGCCTGAGGGGCCCTTAATACACTGCTTTGTTCCTAGACAGTCCTCCTTCCCTGGGAGGGTGAGGAGGGTGTGGGGGTGGGACATCGTAGAGAGGCCCCAAGAGGCTCCAGCTCTGGGAAGCCTCCTGGAGCCGCTGCTTTGATCAGTGGTCTGTGGGGCTGGTGGCTGGCACAGGGACAGGCCGTCACAGGCTGTGAGGTGGGGACCCTCTCCTGCTCGTGCCCTGATGCTGTCCGTGGGAGGGAGGTAATGGGGTTTTGGGGAGGCCCTTCCCTCTCCGGGCTGCCGATCCTGGGTCAGAGGCCTCCTGCTGGGCCACGCCCAGCTCCCAGCTCAGAGGGGTCTGCAGCACGTGGGAGGGGGCCTAGGAACTGGGAAATAGCAGCAACCCCACGCTGACCCCCATCCCCCTCCTCCGGCGACTTCCCTCGCTTTCCCAGGCCCCCCTCCACCCCACCTGTTGCCCACACGGCCGGCCCTTTGGTTCTTTGGGGATGCATCTTCAGCCACCCTTCACCACAGTGGGTGGTCCCCAGAAACCCCTGCCCCAGTGAGGCTGCACCCAAGGACCCCAGTCACCATCACGCACACACGCACACACGCACAAGCACACATCCCTAAACAATTTTAGGTGGTCCTTGAACATCTGCAGGGAAAAGGTTTGCTGGCTCAACCCTCCTAAACCCAGCCTCCGGTGTGCTTGTTGGGCCAGCACAGGGCAGAGGGGACACCGGGACAAGCAGCTGTGACCTACCTCCTGTGCCCAGTTGAGTACCTGCTTTGGAGCCGGACTGTTTACAGAGCACTTCCAGGGGCACCATGGCCTGCCCTTCTCACCCAGGCATCGTGGCAGAGGTGACAACATGCAGTCCTCATGTCAGAGATTGGGGTGCTGGAGCCCCGACAGTTTAAGCAACACACCCAGGGCCACACAGCCGGGTTCAGGTCCCAGGGCTTCTGAATCTCTATCCGGCCTTACATGCCCTCTGCCCTTGCTGCAGAGGCTGAGCCTCGATGATTCAGGAAAGGCGAGGAGGGAAGGCCCAGAGGAGGCAGACCAGCTCCCAGGAGATGATTCCTCAGGTGCTCAGGCGCCCTGGCCTCTGCTCTCGCTGTTCTCACCTGAGAAATGGGGAGATGCCAGCCATTTCCCACTCGGCCGAGGCTGGCTAGGGAAAGAGAGGGGGTCCTCCGATTATCCATTGCAACCTGATGCCGGAGGGGAGAGAAGGGGCTCTCGGAAACCGCTTACTGAAATGGCCAGAGGAGCCTTGGCTGTGAGTGCACTAAGTGAGAGACGCTAAGGGGGACAGGAACGCAGAGATGGAGTCGGGCTATGGATATCGCGGCAAAAATGGCTGCACCAGGCATCCCTGTGCATTTGGGGGCGAGAAGGGATCAGAGCGGCAGGTGGAGGGCGTCCCTTGCCCTGCACTCTGGGACCTCCCCTGGCTCCTGCTCTAATCAGTCCCTCCATCTCCTTCCCAAGCCTTAGACTGCAGAAGCCTCTGGCTGCATTCTGAGCCCCAGAGATCAAAGACCTTGAGCTGGGTCATGCCTGAGTCACTGGCTTGATGAGCTCCTCACCCCCCTACTCCCTGCAGATAGATTAATTTCAGTCCCATCAGGAGGCCCCGGAAGCCCTCCAGCCTGTCTCCCACCTCTTCAGTATCTCCCTGGGTTGCTGGTTCCTCTTCAGTCCCTCCCCCCAACCCATCCTGAGGCCTTTGGGTGCGTATT